GGGCTAGATCAATGCTCACAGGGCTGAACTGGTGCTCACAGGGCTGCAGTGATGCTCACAGGGCTGAACTGGTGCTCACAGGGCTGCACCAATGCTGGTAGGGCTGCAGTGATGCTCACAGGGCTGCACTGATGCTGGTAGGGCTGCACTGATGCTGGCAGGGCTGCACTGATGCTGGCAGGGCTGCAGTGATGCTCACAGGGCTGCAGTGATGCTCACAGGGCTGCACTGATGCTCGCAGGGCTGCACTGATGCTCACAGGGCTGCACTGATGCTCGCAGGGCTGCACTGATGCTCGCAGGGCTGAACTGATGCTGACAGGGCTGCAGTGATGCTCACAGGGCTGGATCAATGCTCACAGGGCTGCAGTGATGCTCGCAGGGCTGCACCGACGCTGGTAGGGCTGCACTGATGCTGGCAGGGCTAGATCAATGCTCACAGGGCTGAACTGGTGCTCACAGGGCTGCAGTGATGCTTGCATGGCTGCAGTGATCCTCACAGGGCTGCACCGATGCTGGTAGGGCTGGACCAATGCTCACAGGGCTGCACTGATGCTCACAGGGCTGCACTGATGCTCGCAGGGCTGCACTGATGCTCGCAGGGCTGCACTGATGCTGGCAGGGCTAGATCAATGCTCACAGGGCTGCACTGGTGCTCACAGGGCTGCAGTGATGCTTGCATGGCTGCAGTGATCCTCACAGGGCTGCACCGATGCTGGTAGGGCTGGACCAATGCTCACAGGGCTGCACTGATGCTCACAGGGCTGCACTGATGCTCGCAGGGCTGCACTGATGCTTGCAGGGCTGCAGTGATGCTCACAGGGCTAGATTAATGCTCACAGGGCTGCAGTGATGCTCGCAGGGCTGCACTGATGCTGGCAGGGCTAGATCAATGCTCACAGGGCTGCAATGATGCTCACAGGGCTGCACTGATGCTTGCATGGCTGCAGTGATGCTCACAGGGCTGCACCGATGCTCACAGGGCTGCACCGATGCTGGCACAACCCAGAGCAGCCTTCCCCAGCGGGGCAATGCATTTTGGGGATGGTTCATCCAGCCCCACATCAGGACTCAGGGAAATCAGGGTGCTGCAGGCATCACTGCCGTTTCAAATGCTGGCACCGGCTCTGGCTGCACCCGCAGCATGGGATGGGGGTGATTTGTCCCACCCTGGGCAAACTCTGCAAGAGCCATGCAGGGAAAGTCACCCTCAAAAGTGCGGGGTGCACTTGGGCTGAGGATGGAGCCCGAGGTGGGCACGGGAAGGGCAGCAGCACCGCCAGCCCCCACCGTGTCCCAGCACAGAGCACAGGAGCCAGGGCACGCACAGGAGTCCCGGGACAGGCATCTCCCACCTCAAAAATGATCATGATTAGAGGTGCTGCGCACTTGGGAGCGTGAGATAAGACCCCAGAGCAAGCGTCTAAGTATGGCTGATTAACAAATAAACCCTCACTAATTGCCTGAAAAAGGCAGATTTCAACAACCAGGGAATAATTTTAAAAAAGAATATAAATTTTCCTTGGGGTAAACATTTTTTCCAGCGTGCTCATACTCGCTCTGTGTGTTTCCAGTCGTTATCTCCCTAATTAACACACACCACAACCCGAAAACAAATTTCCCCACCTCTTGGCTCTGTGAGGCTCAGCCGGATTAACCAAACCTGGGGAAGGGGGTCAGCACCGCCCTCACCTGACGAGATGGGTTTTGGGACGGGGAGGTGAAGCTTTTATCGGTGAATAAAGTGGAATAAGCCTTTAATTTTCCCCAGCTGTGGCTGGATGTGCTGAGGGACAGGTGAGCTCCTGGGGACGGATATTGCCCCATGTGTCCGGGGGAAATCAAGGGTGTTTGGTGGGGTTTTTTTAATTGCCATCACTTTATTTTCTGTAGTTCACACAAAATCACCTCTGGCCCTTATTGCCTCCCCAGAAAATTCAAATAATGGCTTTTAAGCAAAGTGATGCTCCAGAGCCCATCACCACGGTGGGACCTCAGCATGGCTGGGGCCGAAAGTGCCCATTTGCCAGGACCGGGCTGTGCAAGAGCACCCGAATTGGGCTGTGCTTATTGCCCCAGTGTCTAAAACCCCAAAATTGCCACTTTGGGGCACTTGGTGTGCGTTTATGGGCAGCTGCACCCTCCTGCCCACAGACCTGCGGACACAGGGAACCCCATGGGCTCAGGAGGAGGGGGAAAAACTTCTGATCGAAGGGTAAAATTAAATAAAACCACGCAAAGAGCAAAAAAAAAGGAGCCCTTCCCTCGGAGCCGGGCAGCCCGCTTGAAAGAAGAGTTCAAAATGCAGGTAAAAGCAGGCGGGCGCAGGCAGAGGAATAGCGGTAATTAGCGCTTCCTAATGACTCCAGGTCGTTTTCTATTTTTCCTTGCTAACGCAATTTCGACGGGGCTCGTCGTCTCTACGAGCACAATTAACCCGAAGCGCTCCGTGCGCTGCCGGCCGCTGGAGCCGGCCCGGGAAGGGTCAAAGAGGCAGCTCCGCTCCGCGGCATGCAAATGAACACATTACCAAATTAAAGGGGGAGGTCAGCTGGAGGCTACGGAGGAGGAAATGAGTGATTTTTCAAACAGCCAGGGAAGTTTGCGTCGGCCTGGTAACGTAATGCGATTTTTGTCATTAAACCCGCGTCGCTGATTGGGGTGGGGAGGCGGCTTTTGCCCACCTAAGCAAAATCCTCTTATTAAGGCAGAATTGTCATTAGTGCAATGATGAACCGGGGACGAACGGCACAGGGGAAGGACCGGCCGCAGCTCCAGGAAAATGTCGCATCCTTATTTAAACCATTTTGGGGTTGTTTGTTTTTTTTAGGGTCATTTTCCTTATGGTTGCTGCAAAGTGGAACCGCAGGAAGGCGCAGCTCCCACCGTGCCCCCTCCCCAGCTCCTCCTCCGCTCCCTCCGCGAACGGGGAAGGGTTTGGAAAGGCGCTTGCACCCCCCCGTGCCCACGTCCACGAACTGCAAGGCAGCGCGGAAGCGTGGCTGTGTCCCCCTGGGACACGAGTGGGGGCATCGTCCCCCTCCCACCCCAGCATCTCAGGGGAAATCATCCCAAAAAATACCTTCCTGCCCTGCACCATGGAAGGGGTTCAGGGGGTGTCCCAGGGATGGATGGATGACGGATGGATGATGGATGGATGATGGATAATTGATGGATGATGGATGGATGATGGATAATTGATGGACGATGGATGGATGATGGATGGGTGGTCCCATGGTGGTCCACGGTGGGAAGCAAAGGGGCAGCTCCTGCCCACATGCGACCAGGCTCAAAGCAGCAGATAATTAACCAGTCAAAAAGCATTGAATCAGGCTGGAACCTGATTAATAATTAAAACCCAGAGGTTGTCCCATGCACGGGGGATGAAAACCCAGAGGTTGTCCCGTGCACGGGGGATGATCCAGCGGCAGGGCAGGTCATGGGGCACTGGATCCTGCTCTCCAGAGGGGACTTTTACCCCTCGGAGGAGGGAACTGAAGCCTGGCAAAGTCCAGCTCAAGTCTCAGCACCCATGAACCCAGCATTCAATGCTGCTGGGACAAGGAGACCTCTGGGAGGCAGGGAATGGTTGTGGCTTCCAGTTTGCAGGCAGCTTTATGCAAGGAAACCATCGTGAGACACCGCTAAAACTCAGATCTTCTGCCCAGAAAACCCTGCCAGCCCAGAAGGTACCGAAAACACGCTGTGAAACACACTAAAACCTGCTTTAGTCGGGCAAAAACGTGAACTGGAGTGAAAAGAAAAGCTGCCCCAATGCGAGTTCTGCCTCCAGGGATGTCCAGAGGCCTCCAGTGCATCAGCATCCCCCTTGAACGTGGCAAGAATGGGGATAGCAGTGACAGATACGGGATAAAACCACCCCCACCGACCTCAGACCGACCCTTCAGGCTGCAAGACCACGCTGGATGAAAGACAGCGTATGTCCACAGCTTATTTTCTTAAAGAAAACTGAGGTTATTTCTCCAACACAGTGAACCAGTGCTTTATTTTCTGTACTGGAAGAGGTACGAGACCAGCGGTGAGCTCCAGGTGATGTGCTGGTGCGTTGCACCTTTTATCAGTGCCCTCCTAAGGGTGGGTCGAGGCAAAACGATGCCTTGATTTCAAAGGTTTGATTTCCAAATCGGGTGCTGAATTAAGGAGAAATCAGTGCCGCAGCCCCTCTGAGTGTGGAGGGAACACGGAGGTGATTCCTAAAGCCTGAGTTGTGCCAAGCGTGGCCCCGTTTTGGCCTCCCCTGCACCCCCGTACAGCGAGCAGGAGCCGTAGGTGCCAGCGGAGCTCACAGCACAGTGATAAATCTGGTGTAAGGCCAAGTCTGATCAAGTGCAGAGAGGAGACGGGAAATCCAGAACCGTGTGTGGGATGGGTCGAGGGGGGAAAATACCTGGATGCTGCCTCACGGGATCATAAAACCATCCTTGCCCTAGCACCCGGGGGGGTTTATATAGGGCAATTCATACCATGACCCAGCCTGGAATAGCACCAGGGATTAACCCCGGCTCGACCTCGGCTAATCCAGAGTGACTCCTGGGAAACGCCAGCGGAGCGGCTCCGGGTCGCACCAGAACCGGCCTCTCCTGGGGGGATGTTCAGCGCATCCTGGCTCAGCTGAGCTCAATGGCAAAACCCCACAGAGCTCAGCAGGGGCAGGCGCTGCTTCAGGGGATGAAGCCGAGAGGATGAGGATGCCAGAGAGGTTGGGGAGGGGAAAATGAAGAGCTGTAGCCTTTGCATCACCCCAATCTGTGTGAAACACCCCCAGGCACAGGTCATAACCCAGCACAGAGCTTCAGCACCCCCCTTTTCCCCTCGCCTCCCACCCTGGATCAGAGCAGCCCGGAGAGGGAACCAGCCCAGGGGAACCAGGAGCTTCTTTAGGGTTCCTCTTGCTCCTGGTGCCCCCGTAACCGGACAGCGCATCCCAAGGTGTGAACGCAGGATCAGCCCGAGAGCTGGGTGCCAGGTAGAGCCGCTCGCTTACTTCTCCTTCAGGTCCTTGTCTGCTTTGCCTAAAAGAGGGGGAGAAAAAAATCAGTGGTTTTTGCTCCAGAGCCCCCAACCCCTTTGATGTGGTTATTCCACCACCTCACAGTCACTGCTGTCCAACAGTGAGTTGTGGCTGGGGTGCTGTGCTGAACTTGCCCTCCCAAGGCCTTTTTTTGGCTGGGGGGAAGCAAAGAGCACAGTAACCACCCCGGTGAGCAGCCCTGCCCTTCCCCACAGGGCAGCTGCAATATTCAGAGCCCCTCAGAGTGAACCAGCGAACCCCCCCAGCCCAATTTCTGCCATAGCTGGAGCTCCCTGCCCTCACTTTGCAAACCTCCAATGCTCAACCGCCCCTCGGACACCCAAAACCGCATCCAGGAGCTCCAGCACCCTCTGCATCTCACCATGGGGAGGGCAGGGATCCCCACCAAGCCCTACACTGACACATGGGAGACTGATTTCAACTCCTTGGCTTATCTGCACAGCCAGCCACAGCACACACCTCGCCCCCGCCCCCCGGCTATCGGCTTCCCCCAAAACCACAACCACGTGGGCTGCAAACGGCTGCCACGCCGCAGCCCGTACCTTTCGGGACGAACTTCAGCGAGCTGCTGAATATTCAGAAGCGGGACTGGCCCCTGGTGGGCCCATCGTTGAGGAATTCATGGCCCAGCCCGTTGCCGCATTTGCCACAGGACACCTAAAAAGGGAAGGAGAGGGTTCAACCCCCGGCAGCTTCACTCAGCAAACAGGCTCATG